CTTATTAATAAATTATTGTAGAAAATTATAAAAGTTAAAGTTAGGAAAAATGCAGGCCATCAAGGAAAAGTTGAGTGACATAAACGCAATGCGAAAAGCCAAGGCTGAAGCAAAAGAGGAGGAAAGGGTAATATTTGTGATTCGAAATATTTCCGCTTAACCTCACTTTACACCCCTGAAATATATTGTTTTTTGGCATTTTGCATATTTAAAAAGATTTAATATCACTTTGCATCCTCAAAACATAATAAATCATACGCATTGCACCTCGGATGGTAAGTTAATAGTTTTAGTGGTATTTTTAAAGGTAAAAGCAATTTTTTTTTAATTTATCATTACTTGAAGCCTATTTCAAAACTGCAAAGTGCAAAAATAAAATTACAACACCTTAACATATTTAAAAAAAAAAATTGTATCACAAAAAGAATATTTTACAAAAGATTACTCAATCTAGTTTGTTATCAAGTTAGTTGAAAGTTATATTCTCTTACAAAGATTTCTACAAAATATTTTACTCAATTACAATAAAAGATCCATCAATCGAATAATTTAGTGTGACAATTTTAAGTTTTTATTTTCTTAGAAAATATAGATTTTAAGTAATTCAGTGAGATTTTATTTTCGCATTTTGCACGCTCGAAATTAAGTTGAAGGATAAAATAAAATAACAATTTAATATATTACTAATTTACGATGCACCCTTAAAAGAAACCCAATAAAAATGCAGTTGCGTTCGTCAAATTTTAAAAATACACTTCGGGGTGCATAGCAAATGATTTATTGTGTTTTGGCACTCCAAAGTGCTATTACCTTTTCTGAGGGTGTAAAGTGCTATTACCTTTCTTCGAGGGTGCAAAGTGTAAAATACTACATTTTAAGGGTGTCAAATGGAATTAAGCCAAATATTTGTCTTGATTCGTTATTATGATTTTACGTTTTGAATTATGGCAGGCGGAGAAAGAATTGGCGAAAGTGAAAGGTCAAGTAGCTTACGAGGTAAGAATGGCGAGAGAGGCCGAGGCTGCAATGGATCGCCACGTCAGCAAAGCTGCCGAAAAGGCGGCGGAGTACGAGCGGAAGCACCACCACCACCACCCCGCCGCCGCCACCAACGGCAGCGGCAACGCCCGCCAGGATTACTACGACGCACAGGAGGATTCTTACGGTGGGAACCCCAATTCTCTATCATCTGAATATTCAGCTAGCCCCATCCGCGGCGGCGTTGACTCCGCTGCCTATGGCCGTGAAGCCGGCGGCGTTGACTCCGCTGCCTCCGCTGCCATCATGGGCTATACCGGCCCCGCATTTGGCGGCCCACCAACTAACAACAAATTGCTGTAGATAAAATATTTGGTTTTAATTATTTTATTTCTTTAATTTATTATTATTATTATTATTATTTTTTTTTGTTAAAGAATTGCGCGAATACATATTAAATTATTTTCTTTTCAGCAATAAATTGTATAATACAGTTTGGCCCCTATATTATACGTCGATATGCACATTGCCCCATGATTAAATTATTTTTACACTATCTTTCTTAAAAACATTATTATTTATTGCACTGTGTCCCGACGTTATTATTTTCGTTTAATATTTGGACGAAACTCAAATTACCGAGGGGGTAAAAACATCATTATAACTTTTAGGGGTATAAATTAAGGAACTATTAGTGAGAACTCCCTCTACCATTATTTTAATAAGGATGAGTTCAGCTCCTTTTCTTTTATTAGTGAGAAACCCATTCTTTTTATATTCTCAAATTTACCCACCCACTATTCACTACCTATTATCCACTAGTTTGATATTTATTTTTTATTTTTTATATTTTAATTTTGATTTTTGTTTTTTTTATTTATTTCTTCTTTAAAAAATAATATTTTTTAAAAAAAACTTTTTTTTTTTTATTTTTTTTTAATATTTTTCTTTAAATATTCCTTTTCTATATTCTTTTAGTTTTCAGTTAAAACAACTATATGCCAATAAAACCACTATTATTAAAACGACTATTATTTAAACAATTAGTATTAAAACAATGATACATCAGTTTCATAATTCATTAAGTTAATTATATATTATATTATTTCCATTGTAAGATTAACTAATTATTTAATCAAAACATCTCCAAAACAACTCTTTGTTAAATCAACTATTTATTTAAACAATAATATTGTTGGGTAAAAACAACTATATTGCTATACGAAAACAACTATATTGAATCTACTACAAATTATTGAAATCCACAAAAGCAAAAGCAAAAAAACACACCAAAATTCAAAAAAAAAACGACTATTATTGAAACCAACGACAACCGTAACGAAAACAACTATATCTTTTTGAGTAACACGAACACAATTTCAACAAACCAGCCTCCCAAACAATACCTTCTCCTCGAGGTCAATCTATTCCATTACAGCGGTGGTGGAGGCGGTCTTCCGACGAGAATTTTAGGAATGCTTCCAAAAATCGAAAGAACAAAAAAAAAAAAAACAAAAAAACTATATTGCTGCAAAAATACCCATCAACAACTATACAAAATAGTAGAATAACGAAAACAACTATATTGCCGCAAAAGATACCCGTCAACCCAAACATCTCCGATTTTTTTTTTAAATTATGGTTACGGTGGATCAGAGCGATGTTACCAGATCCGACGATGGAGACGAGGGTGGAGCTAGAGAGGGATTAACCATTACCAGATAAAAAACTAAGGGTCTCCCATAGTCGATTCAAACGCCTTTGGTTGCCACCGAATATAACGAACAAAGCTTTTGTTCGATATCTACGGTCGCGATTTAAAGATGCAACCCAAGGTTTCTTTATCCTCCTCGGGGTCGATATATTCAATTACAATGCTGGTGGGGCAATTTTTTCCGACGAGGATTATAGAAATGCTTCCTAAAATTGAAGAAACAAAAAAAATTGCACACTAACAAATCTGCACTCACCGTATAAAGGAAAAGGGGAGATCGAAAAAACAGCGGTTCATCCTTGTTTTGGTGGCGCCGCCGCCTGCACTGCCCTAGCCATGTTTTCTTCCACATCGTGAAATTATAGAGAATGAAATTTAGGGTTTGGGTGAAGATAGGAAATAATATATTATCTGGTAAAAGGGGTAAATTAGGAACATTAGTATAAATTTTGTTAAGTATTTATTTAATTAAATAAATTATGGGGTCTCACTAATATTGAAAAAGAGGTGGGATCCATCCTCATTTATCCATTTAAGTGAAGGTGTTTTACTAATAATCCCTATGAAAGTGCTAATAATCACATAGTTAAGGGGGAAAAAGCGATTCACACTCATTTTCAAATTACACTTAATGTGTTAATTAACTATTTTGCATTTTTCACATAATTAGAATGATAATCCCAACAACATTTCACATATAATGGAGTTGAATATATTAGATTGAATTACTTCATCTGTTCCATAGTATCCGTCGTTTTTTACAATATTTTTTGCTTTATATATATTATATGTCACCTATAATTCCAATGTTACATTAATTACATATTTTTCAATTATGCCCTTACTAATTTTCCAAGACATATTTATTGAGTTCCTTGAGATTTGTGCAAACGCGAAAAATCGACCTTTTTTTTAAATAATGCAACTAAGGACTTAGGTTAAAATTTTCGGAAATCAAGAAATTATATTCGGGGTAAATTACAACTGCGCCTTGAGGTATGGTCAAATTATGAAAAAACCCCTTATGGTATCAAATTCAACATAATCTTCTAAATTTCGTGGAACGTTCTCTAGTTTGTACTCGTTTTGTGCGAAATTGCAATTTCTGACGCACCACAATCTGATATATACAAGAAAAAAACACATCTTATGATCATCTTGCTTCAAAATGTGGAGCTCGAATGGGATAAAACGGGTACGAAATTAGAATATTCCATATATTCTAGAAGCTTCTACTAAAATTGACATCGCAACGGAGGACGTGTAAGAAGATTCATATTAAATGAGTCGTTGTGATTACCCAATCATAAGGATTTTTTTATAATTTGACCTTACTTCAGGGCTAGCCGTAATATACCCCATATATATCTTAGGAAATGGAACAAGCATTGGGATTTTCATCACTAGACATTTGAGGTGCATATACATAATGTATGAAGTATGGAACTTCAGCTCTGACCTCAACTTCCTTAACAACTTCCTTAAACTCCACAACTTTTTCCCCTGCAGATTTCACCTCATCAACTACTTTCTCTCTCTTCTCTTCTTTCTTCTCCAATTCTTTCTTCTCCAATTCTTTCTTTTTTTCTTGCACATTAATTATTTCACCATATTTGTGAACCCTTTCTCGCATATACGCCACTAGTTTTTCCGACTCGATCACTCCTTCAACCGTTATCGTTTGCAATTTTATATCCGTTTTCACATTGTGTATACCTGCAATTTTTTTTATTAATTATATAAAATATGTAATTTTGACATGTACAAAACTTTGCTATTAGGGCATATTTTTTTAAGTATTCATATATATTTTTTTTAATTGTTAATATTGTATATAATTATTTATTTAATTAACCTCTGTGCAACAGCAGCCTCCGACACGCCTCCTTTTCGCATTGATCACAATGCAAGTAAGCCTTGATAGTAATTGTTCTTATTTTTTCCTTCAAATTTATTAAGAACAAATTATTGGTATAATTATTAATTTGAGTGAAGAAAAATTAATAAAAATAATGGTAATTAGTAACTGATTTTTACTTAAATTACCTTTTTAACTTCTTCATTGGACTTGGTCTCAGAAATTAACTCAACTTTTTTATTACTCCATTTCTGCAATCTCGCATGAATTTTCTTGGCATCAATGGCACCTTTTACTGTGATCTCACCCTTTTCAAATTTGGCATCAACCCTATGAATTCCTGCACACACATGCATGAGTGTAATTAATTGGTATTTTTCTTGATTTAATTATTTTTATTTTAAGATACCTTAATTCAGACAAGATTATTTTATTATTTTTTTTTATATAAGAAGAAAAGAAATAATTAATTAAATTAAATTACACTGACCTGGGATTCTCAAGAGAGGTTTTTGAATGTCGTGTGCACATTTTGGGCAGTGCAGATATGTTTTGTAAACTGCTGTAATGAATTCAACTTTATTTTCTTCTTTTGCCATATTATATTATTAATATAGTTATATATATTTTTGATGCAAGATTGATCCTCGTGTGTACCTATATAGAGAATCAGAACTTTGGATTGTCCTATGCCATTACTTAACTTGTTCTAATTATTAATTAACTTAATTTTGGTGGATTTGATGCAAAGTGGTTCAACAGCTTGTGGAATCTTGAATTCCAAGAGATTTAATTGTTTGCATAATTAGGTTGTAATTGGTCAATTATTCAATTCCGAAATTCGCTGTCGTTCGACTAATTAGTTTCGTGTGTGTTAAACTTCAATATTTGTCCACTTTCGGCTTACTAATTTGAGTATCGATGGGGGAAGTTTTAGCGAATGGGCCAAATCTTGTGGTCCGATCGGGAAGGCCCATCTTGAGCGTATGGCCCAAGAAGAAATAGCGAGAATGGTGGAGGTCAATTTGGTAAAAAGTTTAATTTCGGAGGTCGAGTTGGATCGTTATAGGAGCCGGCCGAACCAGTTCGAAGGCTCATCTCGGATGATAACCCTAGGAGAGGAGTTCGATAGCGATTACACGAAGTAGAGTTCTTGGCTTGGAAGGCACGTCACTTGAAGAGTTCGAATCTTGTGAGTCCAATTTCGTAGAAATAACCCATTGAAGAGGAATTTCGAGTAAAAAGAATTTCGTAGCTTAAGGAAACGATATTTCATAATTAAGGAAAATGGGAGACCTACTAACAAGGGAACTCGTGAAAACCTAACCCTATGTATATATGCTCGATAGAGAGGAGAAGGGCTTTCAGAAAACACATACGATAAATATAGTTATACGTTTCTCTTAGCAACTGTCTCAAACAAACCCTAGTGATGTCGCCGGAAACCTCTTCTCTGAAGATTTCCTCCGGATGTCAAAACATGACAGTAGTTGATGGAAACTTGACTGCGCGTAGTTACTCGCGCGATCAAGTATGATTTTTGTTTTCTAACAATTCGTCATTTGTGTAAATATGGATTGAGTCATAGTTAACGAGCCGTTCTATAAGAACTCTGCAAGTTACAAATCGAAGGACAAATATGTATGAAATTTATCTACACGGACGCTTAAAAATTACATATGCTCCTCTAACTTTTCGAGTTTTGAGCCTAGGCGACTACCTACTTTACATGCTTGTAGAACCAGCTTTACTTATTATCTTACTTATTAAAAACACTCTCTTCCACACTTGCATGTGGTATATATATTAATTAATTAATTAATCTTGACAAAAAAAACAACTAATCTTGTGTGTAGTTTATCTTAGATGAGAAAGAGGGAATCAATTTAGCATATAAATTAGGTAAAGACAACTTACATTATTACCTCACAACAAGTTGCAATATAATAACTAAATTAATTAATAATTTCTCAACTCATCAAGAACTTTCACAAAAATTAAAATTTTAAAAATTAAAAACTAGAATTAAATTATAGGATCAATTTAATTTATCCCAAATCACAAGTCGGAAAAAGCATATGATCAAGACCTAAAAATTAATTAAAGTGCCGAAAAAAAACAAGAAACAATTTAATTACAGGGAGAATTAAACTTGTGTGTTGATGAAGATTCATGAATTATCTGACCTTTATTAATATTGTTGCCGGCCGCCGCCGCCGGAGTTTCCGGCCCATGCACCGTCGTCCATTTGTAGCTGGCCGTTGTTAGGCATATTCAACGGCAAATTTAAGAACGGAAGCCCCAACGACGGATCGGGAAACTGGTTGCCTCCATTCCCGCCGCCACTTCCGCCGCCGCCGCCTGACGGCGGCATCTGAGGCGCTTCCTCCTCATCCAGCGGCAGCCGCTCGTAGGCCACGTTGGTAAACGACGCCGCCACGATGATGACGGGTCCCGACGCGATCAACGCGCCGACGACATTTCCACCGACAACCTGGCCCTGGCCGCCGGCCAGGTATATGGTCAAACTGGTGGCGCCCGGCGGCGCCGGCGGAGGCAGGAAGGAACCGGATAGGGACAGAATCTCGAACCGGCCGTGGAGGGTGGCCACGCTGCCCGCCGCGGCGGGCTGGCGCAGGCTGACGTTGTTGACTGTGCCGGTGCCGCTGAGTATGCAAACCCCCCTCTGCCGTCGCCTGGCGTAGGTGGCCACCGCCTCGAAGACGTCGCAGCCGCTGCCCACCTCCAGTATGTGGGCCCGGAGCGTGTTGGCGCTCTCGCGCGTGATGATCACCGGGGGTTTCGGCTTGTTCTTCGACCCGGCGGGACGGCCGCGCGGCCGGCGCCCGCCAGCCAAATCGCCGGTGCCGCCGGAGCTTGTGTTGGTGGAGTTGACCTGGAGGCTCTCCAGGGCCTGGTGAGAGTCTTCGTCGGCGTTATCGCCGGAGAAGTGGTGGCGGTGGGACTGGTCATCGGAATCACGTGGTATCTGGAGGTGGAGATCGGAGGGGCGGTGGTGGTGGTGGAGCTGAGAAACGAAGTGGGAAGAAGAACCTAAGTCCAAACCAGCCATACAAACAGGAAACCAGAAAACAAAATATAAAAAATAATAATAATACTACTATTTGGAGCCAACAAAAAGAAAAAAAAAAATATAGAAAAGGAGTGAATTATTATATGAGTAGATAGATAAATTAAAGAAATGGAAAGAACAAGAATTCAAACACTAGATCGAATAGAAAACAAGGGGAATCGAGTTTGGATCGATAAAAGAAAGGTCGGGGAAGAAAGAAACAAGTGTAGAGAGAGAAAGAAATATATATTTTATATATATATATGTATATATATATATATATATATATATATATAATAGGGAAAATGAGGGAAAACCCCCCCATTAGGGAAAATTACCTAGCCCAGGTCCAATTTGTATTTGGGCTATTGTATAGAAGTCCATATATTTTTTCATCAATTGCTTGACCCCCCTTACGGATGTTTTCTCCCTATTCTGCCCTTATTGTAAATATAATACCCAAACAACGTATCAATCAGAATTGGCGTGAAATCTGTGATTGTACCTCCGTATATCTCGCCCTACGTGATTAGTGCCAACTGCATAATCATAAACCGTTCTGTTTATATCATTATAACTAATTTTCACAGTCAAAAATCTTCGTCATAAATTCTTCGACACAGGCGATACATGTGAAGATTACAGAGTGTGGAATAAAGTTAACGACGAGAGATTGTTTAAAAGAAGGTATGATATTAGTACTAAATCGGCTTATCAGATGAGATGGGGGTTTGTATATACAGTTTTGTTTTGGAATTGTAATTTCAAGTTACTGCATTTTATTGGGTTGATTGCGTAGTTTAATTAGTCACCATCATTGAATGTTTTTTCAAGTTACTGTATTTGATTGGGTTACTGCTATATGCCCGAATCTTCTAATTAAATGGGTTTTAATGAATGTTTCGTTTCAATGAATGTTTTTTAAATGGGTTTTTTCGTGTTATTTCGTTTCAATGAATGTTTTTTAAATGGGTTTTTTCGTTTTCGAATTGTAATTTCAAGTTACTGTATTTGTTGCAGATCGTTGAATGTTTTTTAAATGGGTTTTTTCATTATATATTAATTTTACTACGAATATGCAGTTTACTGAAACGTAATAAGTTGATTACAACACAGGCAGTTTACTGTAACTTATTAGTTCACTGTAAGTTGTACGATGATTTGTACAGTATTGGGTTACTATAAAATTATTCTTACTTTAATGTAATTTGTTTACTATATTGTATAATTGTGGCATAGTTGACTCATGGTTTATAGTTCACTGTAAATGGTTAACTGTAATGTATAATGTAAATAGTTGACTATAATGTAAATAGTCATTTTACTTGACTCAGTGATTATAGTTCACTTGGTTCACTATATTGTATAAAAATGCATAGTTGACTCACTATATATGGTACACTGTACTGTATACACTGCATTGTGTTTTTTATGAACTGTACTGTACAATTTAGCTAGTTCACTATAAATAGTGAACTAAAGTTTACTATAGTTTTATATGAACAATAGTATAGATTGTTAACATAGTTGACTCACTTTTTAAGCCCCCGATGCTGGTAAAATACTTTTACTAGTAAAAAAAGAAGACATAGATACGAAAGATAAAACAAGTTGGATGCAATATAGTAACCAATGTGCATAATCCAGAACATAAAACAGTAAAAATAAAAAGAAGTATAACTGGTTGTGCAAAAAACTAATAATCCGAACAAAAGAGATATGTTTGGAGATATTACAAAACTAGGGTGTCAGTAGCTACATCTTATTAGTTTTTAAGCGTTTATTTCTGTAATCCTTCCCCTTTCCCAGTTCCAAGAACAGTTCCACCAATTCACGACGCATGTTACCTATTTCCATCGTTGCAGTTTGTGATGGTATTGGCTGTTGCGTGAAATATTTCTTGATGATGTACAACACCACTATACCACAATCATCGGTTCCACACGCTTGCTGGGGAGAGTCTTCCATCGTTTGAATATCTTCGTCATTTGGTATATCAAGATCATATTTTGCAGCAGTTTTTTCAACGAATTCCTCTGTACTGCTGAGGGTCGATCTGTACTGCTTTATATACCCCAATTCTTCTCTTTGTTCTTTAATCACCTGCTTTGTTTGCAG